TAATGCATGTAAATATAGTAACGTTCAATTATGGTGATGTACCTAGCACAAAGAAGATAAGAAATCAAACAACTTGAAACCTTTTTTGCCTGATATTCAATTTTTACTACTGACAACATATAGGCCCCAACCAACTTCTCAGGCATAGCAAACAGTGATATGAAATCAATTTAATATACATCCGTCAACAAAGTTGGTTATTAAATTTAGTGAGTGTGCTTTCAGTTAAAAATAATAAATACCTGGAAGAACATCTGAGTTACTTACAGGATCCTCTCAGGGTAATGAAGGCTAAGGTCCCAGGCAATAAAACCGCCAAGATCACGACCCACTACTGTGGCTTGTTGAATGTACTGGTTGAGGAAATAATTATCAAAACAACATGTTTACCGTTTGGCACAAAGCATTGAGAAAAATAAACTTTAATTTGCTCTCATCAGGTCAATTCTGTCATAACTGAAAATTTTGAAGGCATTATAACATTATCGATGGTGACAATAGATTGGAAACAGTGCCGATGATTCTGAGTTCAAAAAGAATATAAAATACAAATTACTGGTAAATATAATTAACTTGATGGTACAATTATTGTTGAATCACTGTTTATTACACTTCATGGTGCATTCAAACTTAATCAACTTTATCATGTTAATTTAAAACTTTCCTCGTAAATGCATATATTGTTCTGTCACAATTGTTCGTTTTGTCCAATCAGCATTTTGTTACACACTTTAAATTCAACTTTTTAATTTGTATTATTCCGAACTGAAGATGACAGAAGAACTATTGAAACATGTTTTTAAAAAGTGTAGTTCATTTTCTTAACCTTAATCACCTTTTAACAAAACATTTCAGTTTTGAAATATTTTATTTCTGAACAAACATCAGCCCCTCATAAAAGAAATATACCATGTCTAAAACTATGCTGTTACAGTAAACATGGAGCAGATACTTACCAATGAATTCATCAGAGCAACAATGTCCTGTGGAAAAAAGAATAAAATATTGAATATTCACCCTTTCATTAGCACACTGTTGGTTTCTGTAGTGGTCTCATGCTTCCTGAGGTCTTATTACTAGCACAAAGAAGACATAATCATGTAAAACTTACAGCACACACATGTTCCCTTCCATAGGCCTCAAGCTCTGAAAACATAATTTAAAATATTTCAAAACTTTCAGCTGAAATCAAGTTATAATTATGAAATGACGTGCAACTTAAAAATGAAGATAAACTTTTCATGTCTGAAAAAGACAGCTGAAGTCAATATATCAAATATTACCTCAACCCAAAAAAATTTAGAAAATAGACTGTGAAAATATAGTTTTTGTAGCTTTGATGTATCTCTAAAAGCTTTCTATTAGAATTAATAAGCCTTGAAGTTAGCAAATAGCATTGGTTATGAAATGACCAAAATTCCTACAAATATCATTTGTTTGATAGCTGTGACAATAAAACTGTTTCATCATGTAACAACTATTACCATATGGACTTGATGTTTGCCCCATCCCTCGAAGATCTGGGGCAATGACTCTGTATCCAGCAAGGGCCAGAGCTGTGATCTAACATACACAAAATAACACCTTAAAACAGGCCACAACCCTGGACAAGTTATTGTAGAAACATCCCACTCAGTCTCTCTCACTATTCAGTTTTTTTCAGGTGGTGTGATTTTTCCATTAATACGATAGACAAGGGGGAAGGGCAAATTTTTTCTAGACAATCGCAACAAGGAGAGTACATTGTAAAGTCTTAAAGATTGAAGATTTTAGCCATGATCAAGAATATAATAAAAGTATTGGACTGTACAGATATCAAGAATAAATCATAAATTAAAACTAATAATTAATAAATATTAGGTAAGTAAAAGTAACTGTTCCAATTTCTGGTAAGGCTTACCTGATATTTCCAAATATACCACAATTCAGGGAAACCATGAAGCAAAATAACAACAGGTCCATGTCCCATTTCCACATAATGCATCCTGATACCTGTCTACAAATACCAAAATCTTTATTAGTGACTCTGGTTATGGCTTTAGTGCTTCTTCTAAGTTGGTTAAGAAGATTCCTGAAAATGCACTAAACAGTCTTTATGTAAGCTGTGTTTAGACAATCAGGTGGCATTTCCTGAAAAATTTGGGCTGGGCTAGACAAGAAAAGAAACAAGTATTATTACTAATGTCTATGGTAACTGTTTTTTTTCTGGTTTCCTACAGTTGTTTTAAAGTTTTATAACATTATCTGCATAAAATATACTCCATGCATCCAGTAAAAAAGTCTACAAACAGTGATTTAGTAATTTGGGTCCTGAAGAAATCAAGTGTTACTCTTCAATTTAAAGGGTAATTGTAAAAAGTAGCTCAACCTTAAGATTGATGTAGCAGTGAACAGCATCATGAGGAGCACAAGGTTCCACTGCATACTGCTGAAAAACCTACAGTGCACAGAGAAAACAACATAAAGGTCAGTATAGTAATCTTGATTGAAAAGAGTCAGAGTCACTGATAAGTCTGTCCACCAATTGTACTGACTGTATCAGTTCTCATGCTTTGCACCAAGTTAAATCTGATCTTTCCTAACACATCAAACTTACATCAATTCCTGTTATCTTTTTAAGATCACTGAGAGCTGTAACAGGATTTTTCACAAGAATGGTTAACATTCCCATTCCTTTTGCTGGTTTGAGATTTTGAGGGGAATCATCCAGAAATATCACCTAGGACAGAAATAACAAATTAACATCATTTCACCCACTACACTCTAGCATCAGAGTGTATATTCTCCAGACCATTCTCTATACATTTCCTAAATTGCTGATGAGGAGAATTTAGTCAACAATCATGAGCTTCTCTAGTTGAAGATCATAATTTTCTTTATTCTCATGACCTTTATATATGATTCAGTGATGATATTGCAGGGAGAAATTAGATGCTAGTCACTCTTAGGGTCAAAAGGTCGACACTCAGCAGTGAAAGGTAATATTGTCAACCCTCTCTAGCAAGAAGTCTTGAAAAAGTATAATTCCACATTCTTCCTCAAAACAGTCCAGCAAAAGGCTTAAAACGTGTTTGAGTTCAAGTCAAATCCTGCTATGCAGCAAGTTAACATGACAATGTTTGTCTTTGATAGCCAGAGCTGATACCTAAATGGCTTCTATTGGCAATTTTCATTACTAAAAGTTGATTGAACAACATCAGACTTCATGGTATAATTTAGATGGAATACCACAAATATATGGCAGTTATATTGTAATATCTACAGGTATCATTAACCTTTACACTTTGTAAGAATCCCTTATATTCTCAACAGTAAATAAATATACACCTCTGAAGGTTGCACTCCCATCTTTGAGCAGACATGTGTATAAATATCTGGGTCAGGTTTACTGAGACCAATTTTACATGATTCAAACACCTCATCAAAGTAGTGAAGTAATTGTGGAAAAGGCAATGATCTGAAGTTCTTCACTAAGTCGTTGGTCCAATTATTTGTCAGGATACAAGTCTTGATACCTGAAAATATGAGCACCATAATTAGTCAGATAAAAGTTCCTGTAATTTAATCAAAATTATATGAATTCCTTTGTATATTAAAAGGCAACTTGAACCCTATGTCTTTGTAGGCCTTACCTCTGCCAAGTTCCAAAAGCCTAAATTCTCCTCATGAATGACAACAGATTTCTTTTTTAGCTGGTCCAGGGAATTTAATTCAACATTATTTGTTAATATCAATTGATTAGTTATTTATTTCAATCCTCACTACCTGTCTGATTGAGAGTGTGTTAAAATGTGAGAGGAATGTGCGTTATCTAACAAATCACTGCTATGAGTCAACTGTGCTAGGGAGTATAACAATCCAGATCAAAAAAAAATTGTCTTAATAGTTCAAGTAGGCCATTGCCACCTTTCTAAAAATCATTTTTACTAACCGTGCTTCCTCAGAGCTGTTGCAGCATTAAGCATTTCTGGAATTACTTTTGCTGATGAGGAGTACTCATCTATAATGTCTTGGAAGCTTATAGACTTGTAGAGATCACTCCCTTGTTTTGAAGCATACTCTGCATACATTGCATCCATTTCAGAGCAGAACTTTAAAAAAAAATAATAATAAAACAAAAAAAGAAAAAAAAAAAGCAAAACAAAAATTTTGAACGGTAAATTATATATTCATATCCTATGAAGGAACACTAGTTTCAGTGTTTAAGGGGAGGCAGAGGGGAGGGTGTATGTACAAAAAGTATTTTCTTTCCCATTCCATTCCCTCTCATTCCTCTTGTCTATCAGTTATCCCTTGGTAGACACTTATTTCTCACTTTGGCCTTCCTTTGCAGAAAACTCATGATGGCTGCAAAACTTTTCATACACTGAGTTCTACAGATAGAAATGATTATACACACCTGAGAAAGGGAAACTTGACCTGTTTCAAGTCTTTTTGCATTGTCAATGAAGCTTTTTATTATCACCTCTCTGAAATTAAATAAGAAAGTTCGTCAAAGAATATTAACTTTAAGAAACAGTCAAGTCCAGGACTTTCGAGGCAATATTATGAAAGAGAAACGACTATGCGGAAATTTGCTTTGATACTTTGTCTGTTTTTGTTTGTTTGTTTGTTGGTTTGTTTAAGACAACTTTCAAATCTAGAATGTACACAAAATTCCTAGCTACCTCGCAATTCCTTTTTCCCACGCATATTTCTGAAATGCAAAGATAGGACTTGTAATGATGACACCCCCGAGATCAAACATAACAAGCTTCACCATTTTTCAGCTGAGAGAATCCCCGTGACGTAATTTGCAAAACCTTACACTGTTCCTCACATTCATCTCAGCTGATGAGCCCAGCTGAAAGCTTTCATGAACCTAATTCATTTGTAGAGAATATTAGCTGACTGCGGAATCAGGCCTCCTCGGGATCATAAATCTAAACCTCAATTTGATTGGATAAAAGAAATATAACCAATCAGCTACCCTTTGATATGTGTCATTGATAATACCCAAAATGGCGGAGGATAACCTTCCTGATGATTTCGATGTGATTGTACTTGGAACGGGTAGGATCTGTAGTAAAATAATGGTGTAGATAAATTTTGACGGAAAAACAGTCTGAAAAGCTTTTTTTGTGTGTTACTGCAGTTATGGGGCCACTAAGGCGAAATTTCGATGAATTTTCTCGGAGATGAGGAAAGGGGTGTGCTTATCAACTTTGACCTCGAATTCCACATTGTAGTGTTAGTGCATCAGAAAGCGTATTTCGTAGCCAGTCTTATTTTTTTTACAAGGTTTCCCGGAGTCTGTGGTGGCAGCTTCTCTGTCAAGAGTGGGTCTGAAGGTTCTTCATTTAGACAGGTCAGTGACAGATACACAAACATGTTTTCTCGATCCCAATACAGAGTTAAATTTAGTGCTCAGTTGATGATCCACATGCGTCGGTAATTAAACGTAGGGTGAAATTTCAGCACAGCCCCATACTTCATTATGTATTCAGTTCTTGGATAGAGAAAACAATGACAAAAATAATACATTACCATTGGGAAAACAGATTTGTTTTACAATAGTATGAGGCTGTGCGGAAATTTTACAAAACGTAGTTTTGTTCCTATGGTTTAGCTGAAGAACATCATGAAGTACCAAAGAACTTGTGTCTTTGGGTTAGTTGTGTAATTATAAATCAAGAAATTGTTCAGAGCCAGATCCTGTAGTGTAGTCTTAGGGTTCATAATTTACTACTCGAATCATACTTTTCTGGGTTTCAGTAGTAAGGACCAACAAGCTTGATTGCTTCTCCTCGTAGATATGATGCTAATTTTTCACAGATTAACTTCCTCTTGGGGTTTTCCCTAAGTTTCTTGTCCACTTTGCTGCCTACTCTGTCATAGAGGGAGGTACTCTGAGAATAAAGTTTTCATGAACACAAAACAATTTCCTCATCAGGGTCTAAACAAGGACATGGGAACCAGGATTACACCAAACGTACATCATGCCACAAAATCTTCCATGTTACTAATAGCATGGATAGAGGTTGCATACAATTATAGTAAATGTAAAATTTGCTCATTATTTGATCTAGGAAATTGTTTTTTTCCAGGAATGATTATTATTCTGGACAGTGGGCCACATTTACCTTTGACAGTTTGTTAAAGTGGATTGAACTCAACCAGGTAATTAAAAGGATTCTAAAATATATATTCCTTTATGCAGTATGCCTAATTGATTTGGAAAGTGTTTGATATAGCGATGATGATGCATGTAAATTAATTTGCAAAAAAATGTTTTTGATTGTAGGGTGAAACTCATGGAGGTGCATCAGATGAATCTGGTGCCCACAACAAGGAACCACCAAGCTTGGAGTCTGGTACCTTCTCAGTCCCAGTTCCCAGCCACTCTAACACAGTGAGCAATATAGTGGTTAGATCTTATTTTAGGTGAGTAAGGTATGTATTTGTTCTTTAGTGAGATATTTTATTAATTAATAAATTGAAATTATGGAGAAAATATGAGTTCACAACTTAATGTAGTGCCAGTACTTAGCTTAAACTTTATCACATGAATATGGGGAAGGATCACCCAAAAAGATGGATGCCTCTTTTCAAACAGCTGTTTCTCTCCTTGTTCCCTGGAAAAGAGAAATCTTCAGTTCAAGTTTGGCTCAAACGCTATATTTGCCATGACATTTGATGATAACATTTTCTTATTGCCTTGCTTACACTGAACTCTTTAAAACAATCAAAAATGATCAAAATTAAACTACTACTAAACTACCTAGCAAATAGGTAATAAATCTGAAGAAGACAAACATATCATCCAATGGCTCTTATTTTGCTTAATTATTAATCTTTAAAATTAATGGTAGTCAGAAGGAAGAATTACTAAATAAATCTGATACTGGCAATCAGAAGGTTACAGTAGCCTTTTTTGAGACTATTAACTGTGACTTTCTATTAATTTTGTGCTTTGTTGCTTTAGTGAGAAAAAACAAGAGCAAGAGTTTGGTCTCTCTGAATCAAAGGAGGACTCAACACTTGAAACAGCAGCAAGCTTCAGTGAAGCTTGGAAATCTGTCGAGACCAAAGAGGTTAAACCAGTTCCATCTGGTGAAAATGACCCCTCAAAAGTAATTGCAGGTGCAGAAGGATCAGGAAATGAAGCTGAAGGTTTTGTAGATAGGCCATCAGATGATAGCCATGAGAAGTTGGATACATCTGACTTAAACAGTACTAGCAGTCCTACTCAGTTAGAAGAGAGTAATGAAACTCCACTCAGTGAAGAAAAAGTTTCTGATAAAGATTTTAAGGAGAATCATGATGAAGAGCTACCAACAGTAACAGATTCCAGAGATGGTCAAGAACTTTCCTCTTTGTCACAACCAAGGCATAGAAGTGAAAAGAAGCCTGCTATATGTCCTGACATGACATATGATGATCTGAAGCCATACTGGAGAAGATTCAACATTGATATATCTCCTAAACTTCTGTTCTCCAGAGGACCCTTAGTGGAGGCACTGATCTCGGCAAATATTAGTCATTATGCAGAGTTCAAAACTGTAACCAGAATATTGACATACATGAATGGACAAGTAGAAGAGGTACCATGTTCAAGAGCTGATGTATTCAGCAGCAATGCAATATCTGTGGTGGAGAAACGAATGCTCATGAAATTTCTGACTTTCTGCCTTGATTTTGAACAACAGCAAGAGCAGTATGAAGGACATGAAAACAAACCATATGTTGAATTCCTCCAGTCACGCAGACTGACACCCAATTTGCAGCATTTCATAATTCATGCCATAGCCATGGTCAAGCCTGAAACTGCAACAGTCATTGGACTTAAGGCTACGCAAAGCTTTTTACAATCACTTGGACGCTATGGAAACACCCCTTTTATTTGGCCCCTCTATGGTGCTGGTGAGTTACCACAGGCATTTTGCAGAATGTGTGCGGTGTTTGGTGGTTTATATTGCCTTCGAAGAAGTGCATCAGAAATAACAATCAGCAAGGAAAATGGCAAGTGTACAGGAGTAATTTCTGAGAATCAGCTCCTGAAGTGTAAATGGCTGATAATGGAGCATTCATATGTCCCAAACATTTACAAAAAGGAGTGCTGTCAGTTTGTTTCCAGAGGAGTTTTCATAACATCTAGTTCCTTGAAGATTTCAAAGGAGGAGTGCGTATCAGTTCTGTCTGTTCCTCCATCATTAGAAGGAGAAGAACCAGTGAGAGTCATTCAATTAGGGTCAGCCTCTATGGCCAGCCCTAATGGCCTCTATGTGGTCCACTTAGTCAGTAAAGGTGTGACATCAGCTAAGGATGATTTGGAAGCAACAGCAAACAAGTTGTTTCATTTTCCTTCTGAAGGTCAGTTTTATCATTTCTGTTGAGCAGTGAGCAGTGACATATGAATTCAGACCTGAAAGGAAAATTAGCCAAGTCCTTATTTGCAATTGGTAGTAATATTTTCCATCCTTGAATCTTAATTCTTTGAGCCCTAAGAGTGACTGGCATCTAATTCCTCCTTAAAATATCACCCCTGAATGACACACTAAGGTCACAACAATAAAGGAAATGATCACCGACAAAAGAAGCTCTTGATTGATACACAAATTCTTCTTGTCACCGCCTTAGCAAATGTATGGAGAACAGTATGGAGAATATGCATAATGATGTTAGGGTGTAAAGGGCTGAAGGCTTAATCTCACCTCTTCATTGTTGATCGACAGTACAGAACCCTTATAAATTTCCTTTTTATTTAAGGCAGTTACCTGTGATACGTTAAAATACACTAGAGGAGACTTATTATTTTATTAAATTATTGTTCTTTGCCATTTGTCTCAAAGCAGGAAACCTTCACAGCGACAAGCCAACAGTTCTGTGGTCTTTGTATTTCAACCAATTTATTCCTGATTCCTCATGTGTTGTTGACTTGCCATCAAATGTACATGCTCTCTCGCTGCCTGGATTGAGCTTAGGATTTGGAGAGGCATTGCAGCAGGTACTGATAGCTTTCAGCTAAAGATATTGTCACTGCATTGTCTAAGGGATAGGTGAAACAATGTACAGAGAACGATCAACTGGGAAACTCTGAATTGGACAAAAATTTGTGAGAGGGAACATAGAGCTGAAAATATTTAGGTAGGAGTTACTGGAACTATATCGAGGACATTTAAAAAGTTAGGATGTTTTTCTTTTTACAGGCTAAGGAAGTGTTCGAAAAAATCTGCCCTGATGAAGAATTCTTGCAGCCTGTTCCTAACCCAGAAGATATTATATTGGATGACTTTCTACAGGATCCAAATCACAACACCCCACAAACAGACTTGGCAAATCCTCAGAACGATGATATCATAGACGGTGGAGAGGGGAGAGCGTTACATGAGCAAGCTGAGGGTGGGGATGGTGGGGACAGCCAATCAGTAGAAGAGAAAAATGAGAGCGGAACTGGAGCGACTTCTTCTGAACCGCAGGAACATTTGGCAAATGAATGAAAGTAAATACATATGTTTTTGCAAAGGCTAAAAGAGACAGTGACATTCCTGAGGCCACATGGGGCTAGCTATCGGCGTTCCACTCTCCTCCACTGACCCGAGCTGGCGTTTTCAAAATGGAAGCTCTCTCGAAAGTTTCTTTAGGAAAATTTTGTTTTCGGTGACCGAATGATCAAAATAAGTTGGACGATGAGGCAAACCGATAAAAATAGGCCCCAGATTTATCCGAATGGTTGTGGACAGTGCTCAAACAAAAGCGTAAAAGGAAACCTTAGAAATCTGGAGAGTAGGATCTTTTCGAAATCGACTAGCTCTGGAAACGAGGATGATATTTTCTTATTATTATTTCATTAATGTGCCAACGTTCATATCTCTCTTCTTGTTTGGGAATCAAGCCATGAAATGGACTCAAGCAAGGAACATTTGACTTCAGTGCGAGACATTTCCTACAAGATTGTAATTTTTCTAATGAAATAAAAACAGTTAAAACAACAACTAGTGAATAACCAGAAATTTGCAAAATCTGTAGGGTAATTTTTATCGCATACCCTCTTTACTGGACTCTTTCTAAGATTAATGAATCCACTTTGCGGAATGTTTCAAAGTTTTGTTTTACGTTTCCGGTGTGTGCACGTGTCGGCGGAAGTGACCGAGACTGTCGGCGAAGTCACTATTATGTCGGCGCGTTGACCATTAGTGTCGGCGAAGTGACCGGGTACTTATAAATCTATTGGGAGTTATTATGCGGGCTAAAAAGAATACGAAACTCTGGGAACCTTTACACAGTTTCTTCATTAAATCTGTTATCTCAAGTTAATTGCAAGTTTCCTTTGTTTGAAAATGAGACGTTTACTTTACTACAGCGCAAAATTTACATCCACTCGAATGACTATGGTTCCATAGTTTCACTGTCCTTAGCTTTTTTCATGCTTGTTCATTTTAGTAAATGAGGAAACTCTGTAACTTAACCTCCCCGAGATTCCTAACTAAATAGGCCATAAAGCAAGTCGAAAACAAGTATGTTTTATTTTTGTCTGTTGCCCACATCACATGGTATCCACGTGAATTTCACGAGCCATCATAGGAAATCAGGGCTTTTCTAGGAAAACAGCTCAAAATAGATAAACTTATTATAAATGGTAAAGGCGGTTCAACGAATAACCGATCCTCAGGCAATGTCTTTTGTTTTCTTTCCTTCGAAAATAAGATCACGTATTAAAGTGGATGATGAAACCTTTTGCGTGGTTGGTTGCGACTGTAAACTCACTCTTTCATTCCTACGCATTTTGCCCGATATCACGCACAGGTGATCGTATGATGTATAAAAGCATGTGACTTGAGGTCAATCCTCAATTATGCAATACGTGTATTACATAACAAAAAGTTTTTGTAAACTTGGATCCAAAACAATTTTATGGGATAGCATCGTAGTAGAAAAAAACATGCCAGAATCAACAAACGTCAAACTTATCTGAGATTTTGATGAACAATGAATATTATTTTTCATAAAAGTTGATTTAATTTGAGTTGTTTGTTGTTTATTTTGATTGGTAAAGAATTTTTACAAAGTCATATTTGTGGCATAAACATTCGTAGTGAGCAAAGTGTCCCCACAAGTTGCAAAAAAAGAAGAGTTTACATAAGCAATCCTTATTTGGTAAGGATGAGGGTGTTGTCCTTACGTCATTCTGCAGAACAACTTAAACGACGTACCATATTTTTGTTCTATCAAACTTTTTCAGCCGGTGATGCCGGTTATCAATTACTCTCCCTCCAGCTTTAAAATCACCGCCGTTATCTTCCAGCTCTGTTTCTTAGTCATTTTATTTCGATCATGAGTCAAACAAAGAAACAGCACTCTGCCATGGTACATTTCGTCGCTGGTGGTTTAGGCGGCTCGTTTGGTGCCTTCGTAACATGTCCTCTCGAGGTGATTCAGACGAGACTTCAATCTTCTGCGTTTCGGCTTCAACGAACAGCAAATCTACGCGTTTCTCGCAATATTTCGTCCAGTGGCCAAGCCGCAAATTTAAGTACAGCTAGTGTGGCTAACTCGAAGCTTAATGTTGCGGCGAATCGCTTCAAAGGAGTATTTTCTTATGGAAGGTACATGGTTCAGCACGAAGGGTTCTTTTCGTTGTACAAAGGATTGGGGCCCACATTACTCGGTGTCACCCCATCAAGAGCAATTTATTTTGCCCTCTATTCCACAACAAAGGAGATACTGAACAAATCTGGCAAGCTAGTTGCCGATTCTTCACTTGTTTATATGACATCCGCGGCTATAGCTTCGTTTGTAAATCACACGGTTACAAATCCTTTGTGGTTCGTCAAAACGCGACTACAGTTGGACAACAGGGAAGCGCGGAGAGTAAATGCTTTCCATATAGTAAGAGATGCTTACAAGAGCGAAGGAATCAGAGCTTTTTACCGAGGACTTTCAGCTTCCTACGTAGGAATCTCAGAAACAGTAGTGCATTTTACGATCTACGAGAAAGTGAAAGCGAGATTGCTAAAGTTTCAACAGAAGACGCAAAGAGACCTGAATGTGATCGAGTGCATGCTGTCAGCCGGCGTTTCCAAATCCATCGCTGCAACTCTTTGCTATCCTCACGAAGTTGCACGAACTCGGCTACGTCAACAAGAAAGTGATTTCCTCGGAAAACAAAAATACAATTCGTTTCTTCAAACGCTGAAAACAGTTGTGAAAGAGGAAGGATGGAGAGGTCTCTATGGAGGTTTAGGAACCCACTTAATTCGACAAGTTCCAAATACAGTGATAATGTTTTTCACTTACGAAGGAGTCGTGTACCTTTTGGAGTAGTTAATGCGTTCGCTTTAAATTGATCAGTAGTTCTTTATCAACAACAATCGTTGTTAAAACCAAATTAGTGCACCCAATTTGTGTAAGCTGATGTAGTATGATACTAGCGCGTAAGTAGATTAAATTTTTGTCAATTATCATCATTTAAAATTTCAAGTTCAAGGAAATTTCCTGGGGGG